ATATATAATAGAAAAGGAGAGGAGTATTTGATTATAGAAAAGGAGAGAAGGAGTATTTGATTTTAAAAAAGGAGAGGAGTGGGATCTGACTTTAGTTATATGTTGCAAAACATTTCTAAGTTCTCCATGGGGTTAAATTTTTTTCATGAAATGTCCAGAATTCTTAAATTACACATAACCATTATGTATAAAGTATATCTCACATAATGGAAGCTTCCTTCAATTAGTGTACTTTAATTGTTTCTAATTCCCAAGATTTAGAGGACCAATAAACTTCGAGGACAGGTTTCCTTATATACTGCCAAATCCAAAAACCAGTGTGTTTATTCCACATCTGCTCACTGAAAACCCAATGTCAAACACAATCTAGGATTGTCCTTGGCCCCTTTCTACGTGTGCTTGTAATGCATTCAAATTCCCAAATATTTCTTCATAAAAGCTGTTTGATTAAAAAAAAAAAACTTCCAATAGTTCAGTCTACTTTTCATCCTGTAGTTTACTAATAGCTTAATCCTTTTTTTTATTTTTTACTTTTGGTGGGGGTAGGGGTGTGAGAGGATAATGTAGCTCAACTTCCTTGATACCAAAGGCCAGCAGAGTTTTTGACTCATTTACTAATTTTGTTAATTGAATTTCATACCTTTTGTGCAATCATAACTCTCACCCATATGCTTACTTTAAATCTTGTATATCACCTACTTAAAATTATTATCGAATAATATGAAATAATCAAAATGTTCATCCATCTACTGTAGGTTGAACACATTATTATTTATCCATAGTGAGAACATAAAGAAGCCATTAAGACAAGAATTAAGGTAGGAAAAGGAGTATTACACAGAACGACTTCCCATTCCATTAAGTAAAATAAGGGATGCCATGTAGGTAAAAGCCATGCCTGGAGGAATGTACAGGAAACCAAGGAGAGCTGAACTGCCCTTGAGAGGTGATTGAATATCCTTGAAGAACGAGTCCATTTGTACACTCAAAAAAAAAAAAACTGGTTCCCCTTTCTTACCCAGTGATAAAGTTCAATATTAATCACCTTGTACATCTTGATTTCAAAGATGGAAACTGTCTTTTCATTTTACCATTTTGAAATAAATCATGATTGCCTCTGCTATCTCACTATTATGGAAACTAGATGTGAATTTATTATTTCACAGGCTTTCTAATTGAAAACTAATTTCCAAAAAATTCAGTGTAAGGAAAGCCTATTTGTATCTAAAATGGATTATGTTATTTAGCTCCTGCTCACATCTGTTTATAATAATGGATAACTTGCACAAAACAAAATAATAATTGAGAATAATTACACAGATCAAATAAAAAGCAATTTTAGAATGTTTGGGGTTGAACATTTTTTAAAGAGTCTTTTAAGTAGTCTTTAAGTATGACTTTAATTTATCCATTAAATCCAAGAGAATTTAAACATAGACTTTCTAACTGCTAAAAACCACACAATTGACACTAATGTTTTATCACTACTAGTTAGCATACATTTCTAAGCAATTGAAATTGGGTTTTCTTGTGTACAATTACTCAGAGATGTTAATGTTCTGAAAAGAGTAATAAAAATATGAATATGACTACTACATAAACATTATTTGAGTCAAACTACACATATTCATAATTAATTTACCCCTGAATTTATTCCTACCTTTTGTTCTGATGACTTCTCTACATTAAGCTGATTATCAAAGTAGAACAGATTCATGATTTTATGTTAGTAAAAATGACTGATAATTTTTAATGTATTTAATTATTTCTATTTTCTAGGATAGATATTTTAAACTTAGGTTTATTTGATATAAGGAGTTCAAAGACGGTATGTGGATTCAGTTAGTCTTTGTGGGTAGGTTATCTTACATTTCAAGTTCAAGATGGGAATGAAAACCCTGACTGTGCCCCCCTAAGGCATCCGAGGCTGTGGGTACTCTAACACTCCTCATGTCATAGCACCTTTCACCCCACTCAGTCCCTTCTCCAGGCCTCCCCACACCACTC